TTGGGTAAGTTTAATCTTTACAATGTATTTATTAAAATAAAATATTAATACAAGTTATAGTTATAAGTATTTTAAAATATGAATTGTTGCTTTAATTAGTAATCAGGGATAATGAATTAACATAGATCTGTTACACCAATTACAACCATTGCACCTATTACAACCATTATACTCATTACAACTGTTATACAAAATACAACTGTTACATTGATTATAGTTATTACACCTATTATGGCAAAAATTACAACTTCTAGCATAAAAAGTTGCAACCTTTCAACTTTGGAAAACATATTACGGCAGACAACCTTACTGCCAATCATATGAATATCTGCCTATGACTTCACAAGTGATAGCTTATGTAAATGTAAATATATTAAAACTTTGATATTATATCATATGATCCCATACCAACAATAGAGTATTGTACCATATAGCATTGAATAATGTAACCCACAGAATTAATGCTATACTCTGCAACCTAATAAAATATCTTAAACTCTGCTTCTAATCTGAACAAAGCCTATATTAAAACGGCTCGGTTTGGTTGGTTTTCGAATCGGTTAAAATCAAGTTGTCTAAAGCTAACTCTACTTCGAATTCACTAACATCACATGAAATTTAATAGATGCCACATACTAAAATTATACATATATATATATAGCATACATCATATTGTATTAAATCAATGATACCTAATTGATGTTTGATTTTGTATAATTGCACATGATTAAACACTCGAGTCACAACTTCCGGAATCAGGTATCCCTGCTTATAACCCATGATTGCCTTGCTTACTGCAACTGCATCCGCCCCAATAATTGATTTTGATTATGATAATATGATTATGATATAATTGGTATATAAATTATATAGTGATAGTAGTATAATTAATAAATATTACAAAATTTTTTAAAAACTCATCAAACATTCAGATCAATCGATGCTCAAAACTCACCAGTTCCAATCTCTAACAAAAAGAATTAGTTTGCTTAATTATTATCAAACCCGTTTACGTTCGACAGATATAATACTCTATCGTTTAGACCTAATGATGTCATTTACTTGATTGGTCAATTAGTATGTGTTTGATCGGCACAAAAAATAGCCAATCTACAAGTTTCAAACTTGTTTAAACAATCTCCTGATTTTTTTATGACGTAATATGCGTATACTGTATCTGGTAGTGTTTATTTTTCACATACCTGTTATGAAAAAATAAACACTGCGGCAAGTATATAAAGGATCACTTTTTACTTTTTATTTTTTTTTTATTTTCTTTTATTACCCTTTATTTGATACTACCCATTTTTTTTTCGTTTTCTTTATTTTCTTTTATTATTATTCGATACTACACTTTTTTTTTTCTTTTTTTTTTATTATTTAATACCACATTTTATTTTTCTTCCTTTATTATATTATTCGATACTACACTTTTTTTTTTTCTTTTCTTTATTTTATTTATTATTCGATACTACACTTTTTTTTTCTTTTTTATTTCTTTTTTTTTATTTCCTCCTTTTTATTTCCTTTTATTTTCTCCTTTTTTTTCTCGTGTTCCTTTGAGCGGGTCACGTTTTGGCAACATGAGCCTTAAAGTATAAAACTGACAAGCGGCAGGGGTTATCTAATTAGTTTTTGCTCAAGAAACTGACGTTTGATAAAATTCCCAGCTCACTTGAGTTTTTGCGAGTTCTTTGTCAAAACATTTTTTTTTTTCTCGTGTTCCTTT